TTTCCATAAAAGTGTGCTTTAAGAAAAATAAGCTACTTTCCTGTGAAAAAAAACATAGCTAAGGAGCATACATTTATACATATTTTGATATAGCTCCTTGTGAACAAACAACAGTTTCATGCTTCCCACAATCCTTTAGTTTTGATTTTTGACTATATATACATTATATGCAATACACATTAACTTTTACAATTGAAGAGAATAACTGCACAGATCAGTAGTATCCTGAAACACCACTACTGAGAGCTGCTTTGAAACCTATAGAACAGAAAATCTTGCATAAGAGCAGCACTTGAAGGATATAAGGTAAGTGAATTCCAGCCAGCATTACTTACAATGAGGTATAATACTCTTATATGAAGACCCTTTTGATTTCATATATATAGGCAGATATTGCCTGTGAACTGTTTTTGAGGTGAGCTATTTAGTTACTACTTTCCTCCACAACTAGCTAGCTACCTATTTGTACACTTACCCCTTACTTGAATACCTATCAAAAAACGGGGTGTTTGCATAAACAGTGTGTTATGCACATAAATAAAAAACTTCAAGAATGTGGCCTCTTTGTCATTCAGTATTTTTATCTAAAAGAGGGGGGAAGGAAGTGATTATTACCACAGCAGGCTTACAAAGTTTTTTCTGCAAACATTTGGCAATAAAGTTGGAGTGGAATGAATCATGCTAAAAATGTAAATAAAAAACCTGAAAATTGAATATGCAACTGTCTCCAGCAAACATATGTTGCTTTGAAAATCCCAACAATCTGGAGGCGCAAAGCAGCTTTAATAACGATCCAATCACAGCTTCACACCACTAAACTATTAAAATAGATACCTGAGGTAATTAGCAATTTGGTATGATCTGAAATTTTAAAATTTTAAGCTATATTTAGTGAGTCCTTAAAGTCCTTAATAATTAGGACTTAAAAACAAAAGTGAGGAATTGTGACAGAAAAGATGAGAGATAATTTGTAAGACTGGTACTCAGGATACTAATTATTCTTCTCTATTCATGAATTTGACACTGTCCTTAACTAATGAATAGAACCACTTTATATCACTGCATTTGGATTCTGAGTCAGAGCAGGGGAGCTAGAAAGGTAAATTTCCATTTTATCTTTTTAACTGGAAAACAAGCCTCTACTTACATTTCTCAGTGAAACAACATTTGAAACATTTCTTTTGAGTTTACAGCTGTGTGATTACAAAACCCACAATGCCATAGAAAATAGTGCATTTCTCAAGAAATAATCTGTGATCCTTTTCAATATCTTTCATCTGAAAACCAGCCATGGCTAAAAGCCCAACAGAAGTATCCCCTGGGATGGGAAGTGCATCCATTGGGCAAGGGATATATGGATGCTTTCTTTTTTATATCTCAAATACCTTTAAATGGGAAAAAAGTTCCAAACCTCTCAGTTAAACCAGTGCACTTCTGTGGGCTCTATAACACAGCTTTCAGCTCAAAATCACATGTGTCCATGAAGTCCAGACAGTGCATTTGTGCAGGATTACATTGGTCTCTTTGCTATCTTCCATCCTGGCTGCTACCTCTAAAATTGCATCACTCAGGTTCTCACCCTGTGTCATCCAAAATCTGAGGTTACCTCCAGAGTTGCAGTGAGACAGGTGATGTCAGAAGTGTTCTCTGTGGCAACAATGCAAGACAGATCCAACAATGCAAGCCTGCTCTCCATCTCCACCCCGCTTACACAGCATTGCTTCCACCACAGCTCTTCAAAGAGGTCTTTAGGCAGAGAATTAAATGCAGTGAAGCTTTTCTAAAGGAGTATTTACAGGCCTATAGCTATGCTTCTACTGCAGCATACTCCTGAGTAAATCCCACAAGACACTAAAGCTGCAAGAAAAATGTCAGTGGTTTTAAAATTAAATACACACCACAAATCATTGTGAAAGCTGATTAAGGAAAGTAAAAAATATGTGATGAGGGCAACTAATGATCACTATTAAAGAGCAGTAAAAGAAATAGTGTGTTCAGCAGCAAAGTTTTCTTTAACTGTCTTGTAACTTACAAAGTCAATAAAAAATTACTTTTCAGATATTCCCAAGATTTCCAGGGCTTCCATTTTAAAGAAAAAGCTTCTTTAGTGAAACCTTAATGAATTCCTGAGAAATAAGAGCATTGAAAATGAAAATAAAAAATACAGATTGCCAAAGAAAGCAAGAAATCTTCTGTTCCCTATTATCAGTGTAGCTACTGCTACCTTTCTAAACCAAAATGAGCACACTCAAAAGAACCAGTTCTTGGCACCCTCTGAAGCTGAATAACCCAACTACCTAAGTCAACAGCAAGACTTCAATGAACACCATCAAGACATGCTCTCATGTTCTTCCTCATACGCATCTGTGACTGGAATAATTCTGTTGACACAAATCTAAATCCATTAATGAACCAAATGGGAACAAAGCACAACCCAAAACAATCTCACACACACACAACCTGTTCACCCATAGTTCTTTAACATCTATCCTCTACCATCAAGAAACAACAGGCCTTTTTTATGCGTAGCAGAAGAAACAGAAAGAACAGATAATGCTCAGCCTTCAATTCCTACTGAGAGGCAGATATGTGTAGGAGAGAGAGTGCAAGGAAATGGTAGCAAAAATAATACTCTCGTGGATTTGTTTGTTTTTTAAATTCTTTCTTTTTCCCCTCCAGTTTTTCTGCAAGGAAAGAGTTTATTATGAAAATGAACAAGAATGCAAGCCCTGAATTAGAGAAGCCATCAGCAAGGAAGACAGTATTCAAAGTCAAAACTTGCAGAAGATGTTGTGAAACAATATCTGAAAATCCTAAGGGGGAGGAAAAAAATCCTAAGCCAAAATAAAGCAGCTGCACAGAAACAGATGATCAGTGCAGGCTACAGTGATAACTTGCAGTGCTCTGAGGGACCTGATCTCACTGGCAAATATCCACTGCACACTGGCCTGTCAGGCCTTGGGCAATGTGCAACACACATAGAAAACCTGAGAGTTAAAACAAAGCATGTGTCTTCTCACATTTTGTACCAAAATCTGTCTCCAACTCCCAACTTGTCTAATTATTTATAAGTTCAAACATAGACACTCAATAGGTTTTTCTTAGACATCATCCTGATACAATACTGTCCTTTTGCTTCATTATCTGTTTAGCTCTGATAATGAGAGGGACACCCAATATAATTTAATTCTATAAAGAAACACAGTATTACAATTAGCTTCAAAATATGAAAAACAATTAAAGGAAGCCACCTTAGGTTTAGTGCTTTTTATTCTTCATCTTGACTAAAGAACTGGGGGTTTTTGTTTTGGTTAATAAGTCTAAACATCGGCTGTAACTTAAACAACACAAAAATATCCTGATGGAACTCAGCTACTGAAATTCTATTTTTAAATTTTACAAAATTATTTAAAAAGTTAAAAGTTATTTTAAAAATGTATAGACTGTGTACCTTTCATAAACCTTTAATCATTATAAGAAATTGTTCACTACTGTTAAAAAGAAAAATTTCATCCTTGCCTTTTGTAGATTTTTTACAAAAAAACCTAAGCTAGTAAGGTACTATAAAATACTTTGCATAAAAAAGAAAACAAGATTCTGAAACAGAAAAAAACGCCTGAGGAGGTGATATTGAAAGATTTAATTTACAGCCATAAGGAAGCACAATGAAGATTCTCAGTGTGTTCAGTGAGCATAATAAAAAACAGCAGCCAAAAAATTTTGAAATGCTACATTGGAATGCATTTAAGTACAGCTCAAACTACATGTGTTTGAGACTACTAATGGAATTTTTAATTATTGTTCTTCTGAGTACAGCCCAATTCAATTTCAGTACATGCTTAAATTTAGGCACATAAATGCTCCTTTTGACTTCAAAGTATGGATTCATTAACTGCTTTCTGATTGCAGAATTATGTTGGTTTTGGAGAAGGTAAGAATGCTGTTCTTCAAAGGTATTAAATAGTAACATTTATTCTCATTCACACTGAAAAATATGCCTAGAGAAATATCAACCTACACCATGGTGAATTAGCAGTATCATGGATAGGGATTAATTTTTCAGATGAATTGATACTGACCTAATTCCTGGGAAATACTGCTGTGGTTGCTACTTTACCCACATTCTCATTAATAGGGGACACATGAAAATTGATCAGGTGGCTCTTTCCCTCGCCTAAAAACTATCTAAAGACAATGATGCACAGCTACTGTGGAAAATGACCAGTCTGGACAGCTGGGTCAGGAGTTTAGTTTTTCTTAGTTTGGTGTGATTCTTGTGAAAACCAGAAAGTCTCCTCAGTGCTCCTACTACCTAGCCCACACTCTCCCTTTTTCTCCACTCTACCTTCTCAAGCACAAAGAATTCCTCAAACTTCTGCTTGGCAGCAAACAGAGTTTACAGTTCAGCAGAAGAGCAGACAGACACAGAGACAGACCAAAGCCTCACATGGAAGGGTGGGGAAGGTTCTCAGGTTTGCACTCCCCATGAAGCTCATTAAGCAAGTTACTTCTCAGTAACTACTTCTGGATTTTTTGAAAGCAGGATACACAAAAATATAATCAAAATATTCTAACCACCTCATGGCAACATGTTTCAACAGGTGTCTAGATGATACAAACTTTAGGAAAGAAAGAATTACTGAAGTTCAATATAAACAGATCTTTTGAACCAGACAGGTAATTAAAATTTAAAGACAAAATATAAGAAATTAAATATGCATATTATCAAATAGTTAGCTCAATTTGTAGTGATTATATCATACTAGAGAACCCAAGATAAATATTACTGCTGAGATATGCAGAGCCATATACACAGCACAACACAAACTAGTACGACAAAACCAGAAAACAGAATTTTAAAAAAGCATTTACTAAATACTAGTATTCCCTTGTTTTGTTTGGACAATGATACAGCCAGCATTAAACAAAATTGTGGGGAAGAAAGTAATAGCCATTTACAGTTCAGGAAAAAATAAACTGATAAGCAGACTGTCTCATACCTGTTGTACTATTGTTGTTAGTTCCAGACATAGTTGTATGACATTATTTCTTGTTACTGAGTAATCTGTGACAGCAGCAAAAGGTGATCTAAAAATAAAAGAAAAAAAAGTTGAATAGCACTAGCAGATATCCACTTGCAGTTTTAAGTTCATCTTTCAGAAATTCCATTTATAAAAACATTATTTCTAACAGTTTACTTCTGGACTACCTTTACTCCCCCAGAAGCCCAGCTGGCCTTCTGCATCAGTTTGGGAATACCCTTACAAAGACAGCCAGAGGCACTGCTTCCTCCTGTGATATGAACGGTGTCCAGATGTGAATGAGATCAGAGAAGCTTTTGGCTGATTCACTGGGATTCTTGGGAATTGATCTAATATCTGGTGGAAGTAGCAGAGGGAATGAAAGTAGCAGAATGGGTAGAATCTGTATCTAGAGGGGGAAACAGCATTTAAAGCCAGAGATGCATCCATGAATGCTGAGAAGTGGAAGCACAACCCAACATTCTCACACACTATGCTACAGTCAGAACTGCTTAGTGAAATGAACAGTGTAATCCAACATTCACAGACCTTACCTACATGCATCTTAGCCTTTAAAAACTTCACATTAGGATGTTTAAAATTCTTGCCTTCCTGGAAACTTGCTTGCTTTCTAGAAGCACTGCTAAAATGCATTTTGTTAGTGAAGCTGGCAGTCATCTGATTTGTATTCTACAAACCTCTCAAACTGTAAGCTCATATATATGACCTATATTCTTTATTCAAGAAGTAGCCAAACACTAGGCAGGACTGTTGTTTTCTCTAAGAGGAGTCAAGAGCTTGACTTTATCAATGTTTAAAATGAGGATTTTATGGGCATTATTAGCATCACAATGATAGCATTTGTTCCTAATATACCTGCGCTTCAAACATTTAAAACAAACAAAAAAAAGCAGGTGGTAGTGAGGTTGTTTTTATATTAGGATGGGTGACTAATCCCTTCCTCAACTGGCTTCTTTCATCACTTCACACACAGTTGCATATTCCTTGAAGAGTTTTACAGCACTGCTTGGTACTATGCCTTCCTTATTTAAGCCTGAAGACATTTCCAGCACAAAGAACTTTGCTATAAGCAAGTCCAAGTGCTAGCTGTAAATACTCTGTTTCTACTAACAGGTTTCTAAATTACAGTAATTCTACACACAGAATTATTGAAATTTTAGTGCGGGCAGATTTGGAATTATCCATTAATAACTCCATGTGAACTCACCTATCTCTGACTGTTTCATCTCATGCTCTTTCTTCTCTAGTGCTTGCAACCCAGCTCTGATGGTTGATAAGACAGAATTACCTCTGAAATGCTTAATTAAGTCTACCAGCTCTAATTTTATAGAATACATCACACAAGGACATACACTTTCTGCCTTTATTTTCTAAAGAGGAAACCAGTACACGCTTTCAAAATGAAAATATAGATGCTGGAAGCTAAGGTAAGTTCCAAAAGGGGCCTTATGAAAGTTATTGGACATAGACATGCACTCACAATTCAGAGTCCAAATTTTCCACAGTATATGACAACCATACAGCAGGTACACACTAGAGCAGGCCAAACCATGGGCACACCCAAAGATTATTTCTGAAGTTTAGGAGATACATGAGCATATTAAAGGATGAAAGGTAACTGAACTGCTTGCTTATGGACCATAACTGAGTTCAAGAAGTATTTGGACAATGCTTTCAGGCACATGGTGTCATTCTTGGGGAGTCCTGTGCAGGGCTAGGAGTAGGACTCAGTGATTGTGATCCATTCTAAATCAGGGTATTCTGTGGTAATTGTGTTTAAAGAAGTACATTAGTCAAGATGTACAAAACTGCTGATTTTCCTTCCATAATAGTAAATATTGAGGTTCTGAAATCTACCTCAAACCTTGATTTTAAAAAGGTCATGTTCATTTAGGAACTTACTTTTATTGAAGATTAATGGAATCAAACCAGCAAATGGTATTATTTTACTTTAAGTATGGGTGTTAATACAATTTGATCCTGAAATTACACAATGGGAATTTATTTGACATTTCACGGCTGCCAGCATTTCTCTAAACAAAATCACACAGTAGGTTATGTGATTTTAATACTGCATCATCTTCCCTCATACTTTTGTAATTTAGTTAGGTTTTCACGGTTCATGAGGAAAACAATGGTATTTTTTACCATCATTACTCTTAGTGAAGATCATTAGAAATGCCCCAAATAAACTTTGTTGACTTTAAAGAACAGCCAATTGTACTGAGACATTACTCATTTTAGTCACATTTAAGTTATCACAATGAAGATTTACTGGCAACAGCATGTCAAGCAGGCAGCAAGTGTGTCTGCAGGAGGGAGAAGACTACTACAAATCAACAACTAAAATCTAAGATTTTGAGAAGTGCTTCACAACTGAAAAAGATAAGGAGGCAGGTCTATTTTTTATATAACTCTACTCCTGCAGAAAACCTAAACTCTTGCAAATCTCTGTACCTTTTAAACCAACTTCATTGCATTGATTTTTGCTGATGCCTCTCTGGGGTATTGCTGCAAACTGGACCAGTAAAATTGCAATTCCCTTGCCTCCCCATCCCCAGTTCAGTGCACATCCCTGGAGGCAATCTGCATGCATGATTACATAGCCACTACTACGTAAGCAACTGGATAAATGGTAAGGGTCTCTCCAAGTATTTGTCTCCAAAGGAAATGTATTTTGGTATTCCATCCCAAGCCTCAACTTCAGTAGGCAAAATGCAGCAAGACATAGTGTAACAACATGCCAGCATTTTCAAATCAAAATACCAACAGAAAATTCACTGCAGGATCACTGACTGGACTTCACATGAGACAAAAAATCTCTTCATTGGTAAAATGCCCATTGTTTGTAATTTTAATACAGCACAATATTATTGACTGTGAATAGATTAATCAACTTGTATAAATGCAAATAAAGCCTACATATATTATATCTTGAGGTGACTGCTAAAACCCCTTTCTCCTTAAGACATGAACCAAGTATAAGAAATTCCCTGTTTAATTAGACAACTTCTCTCTACTAAAAAAAAAATCCTTGGCTTGGTAGAGCCATTTCTATTACCTTGCAATTTCTATGCTTTTCTTTCAAAGCCACATTTTTCACAGTCCCTAGGTCTTTCAGGTCTGAAGTACCTCATACAACTCCAGTTAAGAAAATTCCCTGAGAAGAATTTGCAATATTCAACACATGTACTGTCCAGTACGGTGCTTTTAAAGTTAAACTGAACTAAAAAACTACCTTGGTCTGGGGCCACATGTTGCCCCACTTCCTGCTGTAACATCAATCTCAGTGTCTCGTTGTCTTACCTCTCATAGTCATTTCCAAGATACTGCCAATACACATTTCCCTCTTTGTAGAACATTTTTTACTGTTTCTTTTGCAATTTGTTCGCTCTTCCTTCAAAATTGTGATTTTCTTTGCAACACCCACATGAAAACACCTTTGTAGCTCCAGAGCATGCCTATCACATGCCCCTTCCACTCATTTTCTCTTCCAAACCTCTGCTGGCTTTCCATTTTGATTATCTGTCTAACCCTTCTACACCTGATATTTTAAGGAATATAAATTTACACAATCACATGAATGCTTTTGCAAACACATGCAGGGTATTTTTTGCCTTTAGTCTCACATTTTCTCCATCCTTCTTCTTTCCAACACTTGAAGCCAGTAGTCATTTTCAAACCACTTTCACAAATGAGTGGGTAATAGGTTTCAAGGATAATTAAGTTCATAGACATTTTGTGATCATGAATACAGCTGGAAAAGTGGGAACCACAAAACCTTTCCACTGTGCAAACCTACATTGTGAGCCTTTACCTTATGAGACACCAGGGCAAGATGAAGAGCTTTGAAACACTTCATCCACAGGGAAAAAAACACTGGTGCTTACTTTTTTTTCTTTTTTAATGCTAAAGTCAATTAACTTCAATGCCCTGATCTATATAGGATGAAAGGTTTTCCTAAGACAAGGCATGAAAAAGCTACTGGCTCTTTTTGCACTTTTCTGAACCAGTGTTTGACATAATCTAACACCTCTGAAATGTGAATTTATTTATATACATGTAATGTAGGCTGCAACACACATCCATGTGTGTACACTTTTATGAATTGAGACCTAATTAGCATTTTTAGCAGTATCAGCATTTTTCAGAATGAAAAAATAAGTTATATTATCAAACTTTCATTAATGAAACCACCCTGAAGGACTGGTAGAAAAAATAGTCACATTAACATAGCACAGCTAATTCCATCACAGAATTAAAAAATAATACAATTCAACAGTTATTAATAGTCATAACTATTGATTGCACATGAATAAAAATCCTTCAAAAACAATTTAAAATTTGTGAAAGAGATGCATACCCTATCTCAGTATTTCCACATTATCAGCTTTTTTGTCCTCATACACTGTAGCCTCATCTGTCTTCTTCATATAACATTAAGGGAAAATAATGCATAGAACTAACAATTTCACTTTAAAAAGCTGCAATTTGGACAAATATAGACTGCTGATAGTAAAAGTATAACCCAAACCAAAAATTAATCCTATTTCACCACTAGCTGTAGTCCTGAGATACTTTTTAACAATAGACACTGTGACCAGTTCAAAACCAACATCATACTTATTTTAGCATCCTAACAAGGGAAAACATCCTCAGAGCTCTTTGATTAAACATGACAGCCCAAAATCTTTCAAAGAGAAGCAACCAAAGCAGTAACATAATGCCATCTTCAAAGGCAACATACTACGGTCAAATAAAAATCTGAATGCACAAAACTGTTGTATATATACTGTGCCTAAGCCATCTAAGATTCATAGTTTTAGGCTTTCATGAATCAAACATTTCATTTGTATTTCTAATGTAACTGCTTTATGTAGAATCAGGGAAGAATGCATTGGACAAAGGCATTCTTTAAATGAGTGGTCTATTAAACATCTACAGCTATTCCAGGAGCACAATACAGTTAAGTACCACAGCATTCTGAGGCAGCACTTACTGACAGGTTTGATATACCAGTCAAATCAACAAAAAGGGAACTGCATA